CGATTTTCCTAGGAAGTTCACGATTTTGCTTTTTTCATTCGAAAATCAAGTGGGGCAGAAGCTGGCGATTGTATCATTATGTCGATGATCGTGTTACGACAATAACTTGAACGCGATGGCAATGTTCCTCACGTGAGCAGTACGAACCATCACAACCATTTTCCTTGCATGCAGGCACTCGCCTACAACACGTAAATATAGCCCCGCTGCTAGCAAAACGTTTTTCCAGGAAATTTCGATTTTGAGTAATTTCTTCTCAAAAAGCGTCAATTTTTGCACAAAAAGAACTTTAACCATGCGGATGGAATCTGCAATCTTCGGAGAAAAAAAAGCATCAGTTTCCCGCGGTATGTATTCGACATTGCCTTCGGATAAAACGTCAAATGCACCGTCGCTACTTCCTTCTCATCGATCGATTTTGTATTTGTTATCGCTCGCCGCCGATGCCATTTTATCATTAGAAAATTTTCTGGAATGAACGAAACCGCCCGAACTACTACTACTGCTAAGAAGTTCCCACTGTTTTGGAATGAATTTTTGAATATGCAGTGTGAAGTTCAAGACAGTGATAATGAAATGGTCAAGCTTAAAGATATTCAAAATAAAAGCAATGTTTGTTTGTTCCATACAAATATTTTAGGAATAAAATTTATTCCCTGTGGACCACATCCCGTTAGGTCCGCATGCTTGGTTTTGGCTATATGACCAACAAAATTGTAGGAAGATGTTCCCAGTCATCTGCGCCCTTACAAGCATATAATCAACACTCACATATGCTTGAGTGAGAAGTTATGATTTGAATGCTTGAAAGAATGTGAGAAAAAGTTTTGGTGAGAAAACGATGCCGGAACCAGACAAAATACGAAGCTGAAATTTCACGAGGATGTTCACTGCTCCTGTGCGAATTACTACGGGCCCCGACATCTCACTGTGCTCTGTGTTTGGCGACGGATTAGGCAGTGTCGGAGCATGGCGGAGTCAGATTCAGATTGTAGCAATCTGAAGCATGCCGGGAAACTTCGAGGCCGGTGACGAAGGGCACGTCGGCCAGGAAACCCTCTCGTTTGTTTTAGGCTGCAAATTCACAGCACTGGCAAAGGCATTTACCGACGAAATCATGGTAATAGTATAAAATATTGCGGACAATCTCTCTCATTTCATTGAGCAACCAGTTCTGAATAAAATGATAAAAAAAATACCATGCTGCACCTCAAACGATCTTTAAAAACCCGCACCAGCCCTGCCTGCTACCGTTATGGGAATTTGCGTAAATTATCATAAAAACACAATGAAGCAAAACATCAAGTCTCACATATCTCCTAGGAGGCTCCACATAATAGCAAGGGGAACATCGGTAATGGCCTAAGCAGTATCGAAGCAACGGCGGAGTATAAGCTCTGGGAGCTCCAAGTTTCTTGGGAAAATGTCGCCCCGCGTCTTCTTTCGGCTGAGATTAAGTGCTACGAATCAATGTCAGCTTGACCAAAAGCTAGTAATGCAGTAAAGGCCTTTGAATGCTACGCTTCGTGGTACGACGAAGCTTATGAAATGAGGGAAGCATAATAATACAGTTTATTATTAGGAAAAATTAAAAAATTAAAGACTGAAACCTCTAACATATATAAAAAGGTGATAATTCACCTGTGATTAAGAATCTTCGGTCCGTTGAGTTATCAGCACAGAGGCAAGCACAGATGCCCACACACATGCATCACGCCGCTTTCTGTGTTTTCATTTGTATAAATCAGGCATGGATAACCTTCGGAAAAACGCGAAACCGATTTACGTGCTCACTTAAGCTTGCAGACCAACTTTTATTAAACCGAGGGCACCAGGCTTGCCCGTGTAATCATGCTTTTTTACGCTAAACTTGACGTAATTAGATCGTTAACAGTATGAATGGTTATTGCTTTACAGTATAACATGTGCATTTCATGCACCTGTATTTTCGTCTTTTCTTGCATGTGGGAGAAAAAGGCGTCGGCTGGGATCGTAGTGTTTCATCATGGCTGTCTCCGTTGCTGGATTGAAAGAAGATGACAAAATTCACTCACTTCTGAATGGGTGCACACGCGCACACACACGCACGCACACTCACAGACAAACACACATACTGTCGACGTTATTCGTCTTTGTATCTGCATAAGATCCGAAAGTGTGTAAAAACAAACAAGGTTTTATTTGGTCGTACATTCAGTAAAAAAGTAATCAACAGCAGATTAATGTGAGCTTTGGGCTTAAGCTTTTGACACAAGAATGTTGAAATCTGGATTTATATCACTGACACAGA